TCATGTGCAGAAGGCTACATGTTACGGGCCATCCCATTTCATTGGGTCATGATATCTCACAATGCACTTTCCAGCAAAAGCTTTTAAAAGATGAACTTTTCAACCAAGCCGATAGAGCTAAGCAACAATGGCGGGATTCCAACGGTTCGAAATGATCACACAACTACCAAAAACATGATGGAGAGAGGTTATGCGTTGTTAAGGAAAGGCAACAGAGATGTGAAATACATATGGCTCAAAGATTACAACTTGAAAATCACACTCATAGATAAATTATTGTAACATGATAACAACAACAATAAATGTGACCTCTTTCATCCCTAGTATAGATTTTTACTCTATAACGAACAATCCTCATATTGAAAATGAAGAGTACAGCAACTCCAATCTTGAGGTTCTTCCAAAGGCAATGAGGATAAACTTGAGAGTGGTGATGGGAGGAGGAAGGCTAACTACTTAGGAGCTTACGAATGGAACACTTGATTCTATTTTGATGCTAGCCTTACAACCTTGATTGTTTGATGCTCAAGAAAAATTATCCGAAAACTGAAATTGCAGCATATTGTTCCTTGGCCATAATATCCTACAAATTTGAAAATATTCTGCAGTGTTAGAAAATATTTTGTAGTTCAAGAGAGTTCCCCAGGCTCTGCGCAAGATTTTGGAAGATTCTACGAGCATATAACAATCTTTTACAATAGTTTATAAGGCCATGGAACTTGTCTAGCCACTCTTGCATTAAATATGGCTACAAGTGGCTGATGGTGACCAAGACAGCACCTTTGGTTAGTTTCTGGTGGGATTTCTAATCTTCGATTAGCATCCAACGAAATTGTTTCGGGAATCAAGTTCATTTCCATGCTTTTGCCACCCAGCCTCTTTTTAGCGAAGTTGGGCAACATTGCTAGCACCAAGCTTCGCTGGTGCGGATGCCTTGCTTCACCAGACGGCTAGCGTTTGTCCATCCATGCCTGCCAAGCCACTACTCCCATAATTTATCCCGAATAATCCCCATGAGCTTGGATTCAGGGGCTTGTGTTTATCTACAGTAACAACAAGGCACATGTGAAGATATGTTTAGATATTTAAGAATAAGAAATATATAGGCATGTGCTACGAAGAAGGAAACTCCCTCATGTGTTGAAAAGGACGATGTGAATGAATATTCGCTGCTCTCATTTGCCTATTGTTCATGGTCGACATCAGTAGATTGCTGTTATGCATGGTTGACGTTGCACCAAAATGAGGAATAAGTGGTATGGGTGTGTACTGCGATATCGTTGTCCCGAACCAAGCTTCGTTGGCCGGCAATACCTACTGATACGTAAGATATAGAAAATATGTGTTATGAGTTGGGATTACCAGCTATCGGTAATTTTGTCCCTTTGTGTAGAAAAGTGACTATGTGCATGACCTCCGGCCATGTTATGTATGTATTGTGGGGTCAACCATGCATAGCTTCCCCATAGCAGAGGGACAACAGTGGCTAGCTTTGCTCATGGTTGGAGCGTGAACTATGTGGAATCAAAAGAGCACCCTTACTAATCTACCAAGCTGTGAAGGGGTAAATCTCATTAGACCAGACTGTGCCATAACGATGAATATGTATAGAGAAAGGTGGAGTTGCCTCCATGGAAAGAGGACGCCAATCGCATCCATGGCCTCCGATACGACAAGGTGTGATACCACTGACAAACGTTGGTCCTTCTTGTCATACCCACACCGTCAGAGGGTGGTCTTGGTTGTTGTTACCCACCGGGCATTACACCACCATGCACGGGTGACCACTAAAGGACCACCGGCTGCTACTTGATGGATTTTTATCACTAGAAAGTAGCCATCCCATCCGATCATAGGGTTGCAACTATTACCAACCTCACACTAATCGTACCAAGTTGCACTGACTCTTTGTCCATTTCCGAGAGCCAGTGAGATAGAACATGTAGAAATCTGACCCTTTGTTCGTTGTTGGGAGTCGGTGGAATGAAGATATGTAGAAATGTGTAGCCTTTTATCCATTGTTGGAGGCTAAATGAGATAATAAATCTGACCCTTTGTCCATCGTCGGGAGCTGTGTAGATATAATAAGATCAACCCGTTGTCCATCGATGGGAGCCATGCAGCAAAATAGGCTCTTTATCCATTGATGGGAGCCAAAATATGTAGTAGTAAATATCGCTACAAAGGACATGGCTGTCAAAACACCCAGCCATGTTGCGTAGTTAATGTAGCCGTGTCTGGCCATGTGTAAGGGAATGCTGCTAAAGTAGAACATGTTTGTGTCATTCCCAATGAAGTGGGTAAATGCCACCCTTGGCGATATATAAGAGAATAATGTTGAGTGCTGCTTCTGGTGGTGTCAACTCCATTGCAGCAACTAGTAGAAAATAGGAACTGCATATCCAATGTGGGAAGTGAGCATTGTGAGCCCTTGCTTATGTGGATCCGCACATGTCATTGATGATGTAACCATATAAACTCATCCCTCAACAGTAAGTATAGAAGAGTGGTCAGAGTGTGGGTGGAAGAGGTGTTTAACAGAGGCAAAAGGGTAAAGAAGGTTCCACGGGGGATTCACAAAAGCTTTTATCGAGTCCTGCTTGGATGAGGTGGGAAAGGGGTCTTTTGTTGCACCATGTGAACTTTGGGCCAAAAAAATCAAGGTCTAGCATGTGGCAAGAGTCAAGGCAATTTTTAAAAAGCCTAGCCTTATATTGAAAGATGAGGCTACCACCTCTCTTATCAAAGTTAGAAAGCTTCTTCTTGAAGTCTCCCATGAGTAGCTAGGGAAGATTATAGGTTGAAAAGATAGAGGAGACAAAAATAAGATTATCCCACAACCATAACCTATCATGAAAATTTGGTCTAGCACATATAGCTGAGAGTAACCAACTAGTAGTATAGTGAGAAAAACATACTATGGCGGGGATTTATTGGGCAGTGGCAAACAAGATGATAACTTGCGCAGCAATGGTGTGTCGCATGATCTTGATTCCTCCATTGTACCCAATAGGATCCATAACATATCGGCCTTCAAAGCCATTCTCAATTTGCTGCATGAGGGCATTTGTTCGTTGATGATTAACTCGAGTTTCAGAAAAGATGAGGATGGAGGGGTTGAACCTAGTAATTAAATCTCAAACGTTACGTACGAATGCAGGATTTCCTACATCCCAAATGTTCCAATAAAAGATTGACATTAAGCTGAGTTCAAGGAAGCCAATGGAGATTTTAGAGCTAAGTTGCTAATCCAAGGGCATCCAAGTGTGAGGAGCCTAGTTTGCCTGCCCCCTTCCATTCCCTTGTTGTTTCCTCCCAACTAGGTTCCGTGTTCAGCCTTACTGTTTCTATTTTGAGCAAACTTGAGAACTCGACGCAAATGTGTATGTGACTTACCAAAGTGATTGCTTGGGCAAGGGCCATCAAATTGTTGTCTAGATACCTTTCAACCCTGATTGGGTGATTTACGAGGAGGTGAGTCTCTTAAGTTGCATGAGTTACTTCGTGAGTCATCAAGGTTGCCATCTCGATTATGGATGTCTTTAAGAGCCAAAGATTAGAATATAAGCTTTGCATCCAGAGGAGCACACAGTACATTGTTACCCACTTCATGGTCACTCCGTGTCCCTTTAATCATGCTATTCCAAGCACGACAAGTGTTGGGCTCCTTATGATCTAGATTCAAGGAAGGGAGAGAGAAGTTAACTAGGTGCTCAGGTAAGAAGTGTCCAGGCCTGTAAGGTCCACCAATGGGATTCTAAGAATTTAAGGGTAGGCTAAGTAGGTTTCTAGAACAAAGAACTTCTTTTCCATGTATGTAAATGGAGCATGGTCTCAAATCTCCTAGGGTAACTCACTCCAAATGGCTTAGAAGCATGGTTGATAGGCACGAAGGTCCCAAAGGTTGTTGCAGAAGAAGATTTAGTCTTCCAACGAAAGGTTGTAGATGGGGAAGCGGATGGTTAGGCAAGCTATTTGATTAGCCATTTTTGGATAGAGACAGAGGGTAGGAAGGGTGGGTTTGAAAAGGGTTTTACATGAAGGGGAATGGGTAAGAGGAGGAGAAGGAGGAAAAGGCAAATTAAGGGGTGGGGGTGCCAGAGGTAAGGTGTCAAAGCATGGGTAGTCGAAAGGAGCATGAAAAAATGAAAAGAGGAATGAGATAAAAGGGAGGACAACATTATAATGGGTAAAAGAGGTCAAAGACTCAAAGCAAAAGTAAGGGGTGATGGATTGTTTAGAATAGATGGGACAGAAGGGTAAGCAGAGGGAAAAGACACAGAAATAGAAGGTGGTGGAGGTAAGGTTGAAAGGGTTGAAAGAGAATTGCATGAAGATGGATTAAGGAAGAGAGAGGAATCCACTGATCAATTTTGGGCCACTTGGGAGGAAGATCATTGGGCCAAACTGGGTCCAACATTTTGAATTTGAAATTCAAATGGGGATTTACTCGCTTGTGGGTGATCAGCAAATGAGGTTGGAGGGCAAGATATAGAAGGGTTTTTGGGGTTGGTTGTAAGGGGGTGATTTTCAACATAGCGATTTTTGCGGCGATGAGATTTAGGAACCAAGAGCCAGTCACCATATGTGTCTTTTGAGGGAATAAAAGGCTATGAGGTATGAGAAGATGGTTCAAAGCAAAGGATGTTGAGGCATTGGTGTTTTTTATAGCCAATTCTACCACAACAAAAACACAAGGAATGGACATTCTCAAAGGTGATTTTTTTATTGAAACCATCAATGATGAAGGATGATGGGATGTGTTGGTTTAGATCAAATTCAACACATAGGCAAGAAAAATGGGCCCTTGACCTGGAGGGTGTAATAACATCAATTTGAAGAAGGTTTCAATGGAGTCACCAATGCGTTTCAAAATTACAGGGGTGAAGAGTTCAATCCAAAGCTACAAAAGACTCAGCCAAATAGCAATGGTTGAAGGGGTTGTTGATTTGAGTTGGAAGTTAAGGACTTAATGGCGGACAGAGAAGAAGTGGGACCCAATGAACTAAGGCCCTTTCTTGAAGATAATGATAAGGTAATCCTCACATAAGAGCTTGATAAGGAGAAACCCTTCGTCGAGGTTGATGACATCAAATAGGGCGCAAAATTTTTCGATATTCTTAAGTATTTCAACAACATAAAAGAATTCCATGGGAAGGCTGAAGGGTTTAACAATGACATTAAGTTTCCATGGACGATAAAACTATTCCTTTTCCTCTTGGGAAAGGGTAATAGCTAAGTGATTGCAGTGGGTAGAGGGGTTTGGGTAAGGGGTTAGGTTGGGCATCGTGGGGTGAAGTTAGAGATGAGGATAAGAATTGTGAACAAATGGGTGGGTAAAAAGATTGAGCAACAAGAATAGATGAAACTCCAACTAGCTTTTCTTTGTAGGAAGCTTTGGGGTGGCTAACGGAAGGGAAAGGAGGAGAAAGGTTAACCAGAGCTAGGGAAGTAGGCGGAGGTGGATTAAAGGCGAAGAGGGGAGGGGGGAAGGGGTGAGAAGGTTCCATGGAGGAGATGACTGTGGTTGGCTCTTGCTTGATCCTCCCATTTTCTTTCACTACATCTTCCCCTCCCTTCATTTTTAACCATCACCCTACTACCACATTTGTTTAACTTTACAAGGTACCCTAAAGTCTCAATTGATATTTTGATGTCACAAGGGCATTATTCATAACGCCTTTTATGTTTCATTAAATAAGCATCGATTAATAAAATCTTTAGACAAAATTTCATCTAGTGCTCTACCTGAGAATGTTAGTCGATGTTAAAAAAATATTAAATTAATAACACTAGCATATGCTTGAGTTGAACAAGAGAGAATTTCAGTTTTATTGCAAGGAGAAGAATTAATTATTTTTAAACAAAAAGTAAAATTGATATTTTCTATATTATTATACCTTTTCTTTAAAAAAAAGTAATAGCAGTGGCTAGTGGCTGGTGGGCTAGTACCCTTTCGTAGTACATCAAACATAACGTATGAATATTTTTGTTTAAATTATATTTAACAATTTTGTATGATGGCACATCTTTCTGAAGAAATTCAATGACCATAGCTTTTTTCAAAATCAAGAATTTAAAAATGATCAATAGCTATGATTTGGCACAACAGAGTATAATTTTGGTGTAATGAATATCTGTCACATGACAAAAATGGAAGGGAGGAGCTTAATTTTTCTACAGAATTAAGGAAATTGTTAATATGGTGCAAAATAGTTCAACTTAGTTGAAAAGAATCAGAAACAATTCCAACAAGCCTAATTTTAGGAATTTCTCACAACCAAAATTCTATTTTTATAACTAAAGGACATAAGGCAAAAATCTGTTTTGCAAGGAAGAATTCAAAACTGTTGAGATTTTTTTGATTTAGTTAAACATAATAATAGGGCAATCAAAGGAAATCAAGATCAAATAAAGTTTCTGGCAAATAGTTTCTATTATGGAGACCGGCAAATAGTTTCTATTATGGAGACCCATAAATACAATATTTTAAGAAAAAGTTTAAGAGGTCTACCCCTTTCAACAACATTTACATTTCAACATGTCTAGCTCAATGTTAGTTTAATTCATGAATAGCTCATACAACGACTTTGCAACTTTCTTATTTGTGTTAAAGAGGTTCAACGGGTTATTTGTTTTTGTTATTTTTTGTTAAGTTAGTTCTAGTAAGTAGACTTAATATTGTTGTTCTTCATTTCTCAACAATTTACATTTCCATCTAATTGCCTAGATTCAATTTCTACTTTGTTAGCAATTTTATATTTCAACCTCTAATTGTAATTCTTCTTAAGATTCCAAATGAATATCTTAGCTTCATTTTATTTCTATTATTAGCTAGTTTTTTACATTTCTGCCAGCTTCAATTACATTTCTACCAATACTCTTAGTTTTTAATTATAGCCAAGTTTTAAGATTTATAGTACTCTTTAATTTCATGTCCTTCCATTATTTAAGTCTTAGATCATCCTTTATTTTTGGCATGTGCTCCTTCTTTCTCTTTTCTTACTTTCGCTTATTTTGCTTAATAAACTAATGCCATTGTAGCACTAGATATGGCAAGTCCCTAATGTTCTTTAAGGGCAATTATTTATGAACCTTTTATATAGAAATGCACCACCATTTTTACTATAATCGTTTCATGAAGGCATTATTGGTGCAATTATTCAATTAAATGATGTTCTTCCATCAAATTTTAAACAAGTTTCTATGCTTGAAGTAAGTGAGGGTTGTCAAAAACCTTTATTTTTTACTTTGAGCAAAGCAAGTGACATGCCAGAACATTTTGGCGATGAGCAGCCAAAAAGAGAAGATTTTGAAGGAAACAGTTTCTAAAACTTTGGAGGATAAAGCTCACTTGTCCAAAACCTTAAGGGGGACAACTGCTATTCTCCCTTGAAAATACTACTCAATAAGAAAGTACTAACTAATTACAATAATCCAAATAATTAATATTAATGGATCCATGCGACGGGTCTAACTATTTTATGAGACTGTTACATAAAAAAAAAAAAAAAAAACTATTTTATGAGACTGAAGCCGGCGAATAAAAATGCATTCGCAGAAGTCAAAAGACTAATAATATATTACCCCATTCAAGGATTTCAGAATTTTTTTTTTTTTTATGAACAAGAATTTCAAAATATATATATATATATTTTTTATGAACAAGAGTTTCAGAACTTTATTTTTTTTATGTTTAACGGCCTGCACGTGTCTTAGTAAACCAGAAATAAAGTTCATGATCAAACTTGTTGTAATATCTCAAATTTTTGAGAATTTTATCAATTAAGTTAGGGGATTTATTTTGAGAGAAATATTGTTTTTGGGCCTAATAGCTAAAAACTCTAAAGTTGAGGGATTTAAAAGAAAAGAAATTAGGAAAGGGATCAGTTGCTTTTTCTTTTTCTTTTTTCTTTCTTTTCTTTCTCCCAGCCACATGTGCGTGTTCTGCTCTTCTTCTTCCCGTCCCCTGCAGCCCGAAAGAAGGACCCAAGCAGCCACCGACGTCCCCCTTTCAAAAATTGGCAAAAAGCTTGAAATTTCTCCTTTCCTTCTTGTTCAAGAACAAGCTTTAGGACTTAGAACTCTCTCTCTCAACCCAGAAATTCCAGATCTGCTCTGCTCTTCCTCCCCTGTCCGTCGTTGCTGCTATGTACGAATTTCTGGGCATTTTTCTGGTAAGATTCAGCCATGAATCCCTCTCTTTAACTTGATTTATGTTGGGTTTACTTAATTTCTTTGTTCTTCAATTTTGGGTAGCACCGTGAGTCTTCCCTGCAGATTTGCCACTGGCCTCTTCCCCTCGCCAGATCCGGTTCTGCAGCTGGAAAATTTTGGGTAAGTTGACAGCTCCTCCAAGTCCAAATTATCCATGTAGTTGCTGCCTTGTGTTGATTGGATTTTCTGCTTTTGAATTGCCCTTTTTGCTGTCCGAAAATGAGAGAAATTTAGGTGAAATTGTGCTGGAAGGTGGAATGAATTTTGGTAGCTTTAAGTGGGTTTTTGTTTAATTTAAGTGGAGGTTAGCTTGAGTTGGTTGCGGTGATGTTAATTGTGGAAGAATCCTATGACATTCCATGACTTGCTGTTTTTGGCCAAAGCTCGGTTTCTCCATGGCTGTCTGTCGAATTGGAAACCATTTATATGTGTGATTGTGTATATATATATATACACACAATCCGATTGTGATGCCCAAAATTGGATGAAATAAATAAATAAAGAAAAGAAATAAAATTTCCTTATGGGCTTAATTGTCGGTAACATTAGAAAGGATTAAATAGGTAGTTTTTATATGGATATTAATTCTGGAATATTTTGGCTAGGTTCTTGAATATTCTATCACCTTAGCACTTGGAGTGAGTCTTCGGTTTTGTGCAAATGAGGTAAGTAAATTATGGTAAAACCCTTCGATTTTAAAACATGTCTTAAATTGTTTTTGAGATGGTGGCAAGTTTTAAATTGATTTTATCAGCATCTGAGTGTGATTAAACTGAAATGAAAATTGTGATAATTTTTATGAAAATTATTATTTTCTGGAATTGAGCATGATTGGAATAAAAATGGGAATTTCATTGTTTTTCTGGAGTTGAGCATGCCCACATGAAATTTTTTGATTTATTCTTGAAATTGAGATTAATGGTGAATTATGGATTTTCTGTAAATTTTGCATGGTTTTGTCTTTGATATGGTCATAATTATTGACGCCCACCAGTGGGAGTTTGTAAACGCTGGCACATGTCGACATGTTTACTGATATGACTGGTTCATTCTGTAATCCTACCGATGGGATAATACATTGGTAATTACTGACGCCTGCCAATGGGAGTTTGTTAAACACTGGTACCATTACTGACGCCTGCTAGTGGGAGTTTGTTAAATACTGGTACTTCTGTAACCTTGCCAATGGGGTTAAACATTGGTTATTACTAACGCCTGCCAGTGGGAGTTTGTTAAACACTGGCCATGACTTATAGATGAGACTACTGATGAATTTTACTATGCATGAATGGTTTATCATTGAACGCTTTGCTATTGAACTGGATTTGATTCTGCATTAATGGTTTGTCATTGAACGCTTTGCTATTGAACTGAATTTGATTCTGCATTAACGGTTTATCATTGAACGTTTTGTTATGTTAAACTGTTTATCAGGCATGCTAAAATTTTACCCAAGGGTTATCCATATTTACTTACTGAATTATCTCATAGTTTTCCTTGTCCACCATTTCAAGAAGCGAAACCAAGGACGGGAAAACCAAGGGGAGTGACAAGGTAGAAGGCTAGCCATTCTAATTGGATATAAGTTTTAGATTTTATTCTTGAGATTTTGTGATTTGAATAAGTTCTGAGCCTTGTGCACTTGTGGAACTCGTCTCACAAGTGTACGGCGTCTTCCACATTCCTGGATTTGGGTTATGGGGCTTGACACTTGTTCAGTAGCCAGTAAATGAACATTAGAGGAAGACATCCTAGCCTGGGTTAACATACGAGCTTCCTGCAAATGGATAAGAATTTCATAACTCGAAAAATATATCAATCACTTTTGTCATGAGTCATGACTTATGGACATATGTTAAACAAATAGTTAAAATTTTGCTGAAAATAAGGGTTTTTAACATGAGTTTTAGACACAAGTTAGAATATAATTGATATACTC